GTCCACGCGAGAGTGGAAGGACGGTGAGACGCCGGCGCTTGTGTGCGCGGCCCGGGGGGGCGGGACCCGGCACAAACCGCCCTTCGGCAGCCGCCGTGCGCGGGCAAACACCTTCATAAAATGTGAATCTATAAATACTCTGTGATGCGGTGGCTGGAAGGGGAAAACCTTTCCTTGGGGCTGTTTACTGGAGTGTGAGGGAGGAGCAGCGTGTTTCAGGGAAGCACCAGTCCCGTGTGTCCCTCAGCAAACGTGCCGTGATGCAAAGCGCCGCAGGGGACAAACCCCCGTGTCTCCATGGGGCAGGTCTGTTTTCTTCAACAATGCGTGACCTGGCCAACATCACCCATAAGGGGCCCAAGTGGATCATCCTCGATGGCGACATTGACCCCATGTGGATCGAGTCCCTCAACACGGTCATGGATGACAATAAGGTCGGTGCCATCACGCCCCAGGAGCTTCGCTCGCTCATTAACTCGGGGTGACCAGCCCAGGCCCAGGGCTGGGCCCCAAGATCAGGGCAGCCCTCCCGTGACAGGCTGCTTCCCCCAGGTTCTCACCTTGGCCAGCAACGAGCGCATCCCCCTCAACCCCACCATGCGGCTCCTCTTCGAGATCAGCCACCTGCGGACCGCCACGCCAGCAACCGTGTCCCGGGCGGGAATCCTCTACGTCAACCCCACAGACCTGGGCTGGAACCCGTGAGCCCGGGGAGGGAGATGGGTGGGGTGGGATGGGGTGGGATGCAATGCGATGGGGATGCGATGGGGATGCGATGGGATGCGATGGGATGGGCGCTGGCCCCCCATGTGCTCACCTGCAGCCCTGCCCTCCTCTCCCGCAGCATTGTGACCAGCTGGATCGAGACGAGGACGGTGCAGTCCGAGAAGGCCAATTTGATGATCCTCTTTGACAAGTACCTGCCGGTGTGCCTGGAGAAGCTCAGGTCGGGATTCAAGACGATCACCCCGGTCCCTGAGGTCTCGATGACACAGATGGTGCTGTACCTGCTGGAGTGTCTCCTGACACCACAGACCGCCCCGCCGGACTCGCCTCGGGAGCTCTACGAGCTCTACCTCGTCTTCGCTTGCGCCTGGGCCTTCGGAGGGGCCATGTTCCAGGACCAGGTAGGGCTGCCTGCCCTCAGCTGCCGCTGGCCAGGGCATCCTGCCCAGCTTCATCCCTCGGCCGCATCCCTTCGGACAGTGCTAAAGCAGCAACAACGTTGGCCCATTTCTAAGTTTTTCTGTTTGGTTCCTCCCAGCTCATGGATTACCGCCTGGAGTTCAGCAAGTGGTGGGTGAATGAGTTTAAAACCATCAAGTTTCCTTCTCAGGGGACAATTTTTGACTATTACATTGATCCGGAAACAAAGAAATTCATGCTCTGGACTGAAAAAGTGCCAAAATTTGAACTCAACCCCGACGTCCCTTTACAGGTATTTCCCACAAGCTCTTTGCATTTATGTGTTTTGGTTGTTCATGACTCCAGGGTCTTCCCCCAAGCAGCGCCGGGCCTGGGGCGGTGCCAGGACTCGGGCCGGCTCCGGCAGCACCCGGCAAACCCCGTGGAAACCTCAGCGAGAGCTGCAAGTTGCAGCTCTGCTTTAATTTCAGATTGACAGGTGGCTTCGTAGATTATAATGAAATCATTATCACCTGAACACAACAACGTACTTTAAAACTTTACTTGTAAATCTCCTGAAATGCCGTCCGGAGGGAGGGCCGTTGTGTCAGGGATCTCAGGAGAGGGAGAGGTGCTGTGGCTGAACGAGCCCAAGCAGAGACGCTGGGGAGAGTTTCGGGAACTCTGCTCTGCTGTTCTGGTTTAATAACTCATTTTTCTGACAGCTATTTTTGGTCAGAAAGTCTTTAGAATAACCAAGCACCTGAGACCTTTTTCTTTGGTTTGGGTGGAGATAGAGCATCTTCCCTTAGCGCAGCTGGCACCTCCCTCCCGCTGCCCTCCCGGGAGATGCCGCCTCTGCCTGCCCCCGGCGCCTCGGGCAGCGCGAGGGGCTGCGGGGCTGACGCGGCTCCCCCAGGCCTCCGTGGTGCACACGACGGAGACCGTTCGCGTCCACTACTTCATGGACCTGCTGATGGAGAAGCGGAGGCCGGTGATGCTGGTGGGGAACGCCGGGACAGGAAAATCGGTCCTGATGTGGGACAAGCTCGGAGCGCTCGGCGCAGACCAATACCTCGTGCAGTCTGTGCCCTTCAACTTCTACACCACCTCGGCCGTGCTGCAGGGTAAGGCGGGCCCGAGGCGGCAGCCAGCCCCACGCCGGGCGCTGCCCCGCTCACTGCCCACCCGCTCCTCTCACTGCAGCCGCCCTTGAGAAGCCCCTGGAGAAGAAATCGGGGAGGAACTACGGCCCCCCCGGGACCAAGAGGCTGATCTACTTCATTGACGACATGAACATGCCGGAGGTGGACAAGTACGGCACCGTGGCGCCGCACACGCTCATCCGGCAGCACGTGGACCACGGGCACTGGTGGGTGCCCGGCCAGTGCCCCCCCTGCGGGGCCTCGGTCACCCCCTTCCCGGCAAACCCCCGCGGTGCCGGCACTGCTCCCACCCCAGCCGTGCGCCACCCGTGCCCCCTCCTGCACTGGCGGGGCCGAGTCGCCTGTCCCCCCCCAAGCCTGCTCATTCCCGGAGCTGCGGGGAAGGTTTTGGCCGAGGAATGGAAAACTCTGCTGGCGACTCCGAAGCCCGCCCAGAGCCAACAGCCCGGCAGGGGTCCCGGTGCCTGGCGCTGCGCTGCCGGCGGTGGGGGGGGTTCTCTTGGGAAGGGGGAAGAGGTGACAAGTGCCAGGTGTCACGGAGGGGTTTGGGGCCAAGTCTGGCCCTGGGGCGCGGGAAGCATCACCGAGAGCAGTGCCAGGCCTTGCCAGGATCCCTGCTCCCGCGTCCCCCCGCCCCGATGCAGCTCCACGGGGGCACAGCCCGACCGGAGGAACCCACCCCCGGGGAAAGCGTCAGGGCGCCGGTCCCTGCGCAGGTATGACCGGACCAAACTGACCCCGAAGGACGTTCACAACTGCCAGTACGTGGCCTGCATGAACCCCACCGCCGGGTCCTTCACCATCGACCCCCGGCTGCAGGTACGCGGGGCCCACAGCGCCGGGGGCTGCACCCTGGGCGGGGGGGTCGCTCCCTGGGACCGGAGGCCAGAGCGGGTGGGATGAGCCGGGGGCCGTCTGGCTGCATGAGCCCCTGCGGGGAAAAACCTCCGGCCTCAATTCCTGCCCCTCGCTGCAGCGTCACTTCTGCGTCTTCGCCCTGAGCGCCCCTGGCCGGGAGGCCCTGCTGGCCGTGTACGGCACCATCCTGGCGCAGCACCTGGCCCTGCAGGGGATGCCGCCGGCCGTCCAGAAGCTGCAGCCCCAGCTGGTCGCAGCCGCGCTGGGTGAGCCCCTGCCTCGGCGGGGAGGGGGAGGTGACCCCCCCAGCACGGGGAAACCCAACCGCTCCCCCATCAGCCGGCGCCCCGGGAGCCCCGCGCCACGGCGCCGCACAAATGAAACCCCAGCTCATCCTTTCCTCCCGTTCATGTTCAAAGTGCGGCACCGTGTCCCTCGAAATTCGGACTAAAGCCTTGTCCTCCGGCCGAAGGTGCCAGAGGGGAGGGTGAGCCAGGCTCAGGGGTCCCGCGGGGGGCTGCCATGGGCCCTGCCCGCCCT